CATACATCCGAGTGGAGAGAAGTCCGGTCTCGGCTAGGTGGACCCTGACGCCTGACTAGACCCACCGCCGTCAGACTGTGACTTTCCCGCCTTTTCTTGCTCCTTGAATTTCCCGCCGGGAAACTTCGAGAGCAGTGGCTCCAGAGAGGGAGTGGAATGCGGACACGACAGCATCTGTGCTGTGTTGTCTTGTTCGAATCTTGATGACCCTTTTTTTTTTTTTAATTCTTTTTTGGAACATGGGCGCGGGAGAAAAAGGGAGCAGTAGTACTGTTCAAGTTGAGTTCAAGAATTCTGAAGTTTCCTTTCAAATTGAATCATTAGTACAGAAATGTACAAGCAGCTTCTTTTTGTCAACAATTTTATGATTGCCGTCGACAATTTTGTGAATTCTGTTCAGGTGAAGCTTCATTTCTATCGGGTTTTGAATGATTTGTCAGAATCGTGTAGGATTGATGAAGCCCGTCAATTGTTTGATAAGATGCCTGAGCGAGATGAGTTCTCGTCGAACTTTATGGTGGTTGCTTATGCAAATTCAGGGATTCATTCGTATCTGGGTGCTGTCAATGTGGGTTGGATATTGAAGCTTTTAAATTGTTCTTGGAAATGCAGATTCAGGGACAAAAGCCAAACCAGTATACGATGGGGAGTCTTTTAAGGTTGTGTTCCAGGTTGGCTTTGCTTCGAAGAGGAGAGCAGATTCATGGATGTTATGCGATAAAGACCCAGTTTGACTTGAATGTATATGTTGTTGTTACTGGTCTTGTTGACATGTGTGCAAAGTCCATGTGCATTTTGGAGGCTGAGTATCTGTTCAGGATGATGCCTGAGACAAAAAATCATGTGATGTGGTCTGCAATAGTTGCAGGATATTCCCAGAATGCACGACATGAGGATTGAGGGAGTTGAGTGCAATCAGTTTACTTTTCCCACTGTGTTAACAACTTGTGCAGCAGCTGCAGCTCGTGGTTTTGGGGCACAGGTTCATGGCTGCATAGTTAGGAGTGGTTTTGAAGCCAATGTCTATGTTAAGAGTGTATTGATTGACATATATGCGAAATGCAGTTTGCAGTGATTTGAATAGTGCCCGGATGGTCCTAGAGAATATGGAGGTTGATGACATGGTTTCTTGGAACTACATGATAGTTGGATGTGTGAAGGCAAGGCCGTGAAGAGGAAGCTCTGTCTATGTTTCAGAAAATGCACAAAGAGAAATTAAGGTGGACAAATTTACTTATCCATCGGTTTTAAACTGTTTTGCTTCTATGAAGGATGCAAGAAAAGCAAAGTCAATTCAATGTCTGATTATTAAAGCCAGATTTGAAGCTTACAGGCTTGTAAACAATGTTCTTGTTGACGTGTATGCTAAACAAGAGAGCTTAAATTGTGCTAGTGAGTTGTTTAATCGCATGCCAAACAAGGATGTGGTTTCTTGGACCTCTCTAGTCAGAGGATATGTACACAATGACTGTTATGAAGAAGCTCTCAAGTTATTCTGTGGCATGAAAATTAGGGGCATCCATCCTGATCAAGTTATTGTTGCCAGCATTTTGAGTGCATGTGCTGAACTGACAGTTTTGGAATTTGGGCAGCAAGTTCATGCAAACTTCATGAAGTCTGGCCTCCAATCATCCCTATCAGTTGATAATTCCATTCTAACAACGTTGCCAGGTGTGGGTGCATAGAAGATGCAAAACAAGTGTTTGACTCTATGCAGGTCAGAGATGTGATTGCTTGGACTGCGTTAATAGTTGGTTATGCTCAGAATGATAAGGGAAGAGATGCTGTACGGCTCTATGACGAGATGATTGCTAGTGGCACAAAACCAGACTACATGGCTTTCTTAGGCTTACCATTTGCCTGCAGTCATGCTGGTCTTTCAGAAAGTGGTCGCCACTATGCATGCATGATTGACCTCTCGGGGTGCTCAGGAAAACATGTTCAAACTGAGGAATTGTTAAATCAGATGGCTGTCCAACCAGATGCAGCGGTTTGGAAGAATCTTCTTGCTGCATGCAGAGTTCATGGTTACTTGCAATTGGCAGAAAGAGCAGCAAAGAACCTTTTTGAATTGGAGCCTATGAATGCTCTGCCTTACATACTGTTACGTATTCTGCAGCTAATAAATGGGAAGACACGGAAAAGATTCGAAGATTAATGAAATCAAGGGAGATATATAAGGAGCCTGGATGTAGCTGGATAGAGACAAACAGCAGAGTGCACACCTTTATGTCTGAAGACAGAATCCATCCAAAAACAGCTGAGATCTATGCTAAGATTGATGAGATCATGCTATTGATCAAGGAAGCTGGTTATGTACCAGATTTCAATTCTGCCCTCCATGACACGGATGAGAAAGAGGAGGACCTTAGTCTGGCTTGTCACAGTGAGAAATTGGCCGTGGCTTTTGCAATCCTTACGGTTCCACATGGAGCACCAATCCGGGATTGTATGAATCTTCGGGTTTGTGTTGGGGGGATTGTCACATTTCCATGAAGTATATATATCAAGAGTTTTTCTCCGACGCATCATCTTGAGGGATTCTAATTGTTTTCATCATTTAAAAGAAGGACAATGTTCATGTGAAGACTATTAGTAGGATGTTTTTCCTCAAACCACAATTTTTCCTGTCTGGTCTTCCTTCTGAAAGACGAAACGAAAGATGGTTTCCCTTACAGCTTTTGCACTTCTTTTTCTTCCTCCAGCAACAGCAACTCAAGGACAGGCTAATCAAAATTTGTTCTCTTATCTTGAATGTTTCCAATCCTGGTGTCTGATGCAAAGATCTTACAACTGTTTATATTTTATCAGGGCTTGAAGGCAGCTTGGAGAAAAGAAGGCCGCATTAATGTTCAAGATCATATATGTTCAAATCAGCACGAAGTTGAAGAAGGCAGGGCATTGAAGGCAGATTTCTTGTAACTTTAAATCTCTGTGTAAAACTGGAAATTGGAAGGAAAATTAAACTGCACTGGAAAAGAGCCTAATTCATCTAGTTGATCCCATTCACTCGGTTTTAGCATTGAATGCCCGTTAACTATATATGACAACATGACAACATAATCGTAACAACTCATTTTTCTCATAGTTGAGGTCATAACACATCATATTGCAAATGTAGAGAAATGTCGCAACTCCACTGCTTAGCCATCCGTTCTCTATTAGAACTCCATCCCCCGAGTACAAAATTCTTTCCCCTGAACTTGTAGGTAGGGCAGGGCAGGGCAGCTTGTCTGGGCACCTAAGCATCCAAAACCATTCACATCACCGATGTATGTCACAATCTCCTTCATTCAGCTCATGTTTCATCTCTTTGCATGTTCTGGAATGAGCCGTTGACGAAGTTCAGTAGATGTGCCAGATAGCTCTGTAGAACCATTGGCATAAGTGACTGAGCTAGATAATGAATTCTTTACAAGGGGAGAACAAGGTTAGGTCAGCTGCTTACCTTCAGCTGTGAAGTTGAACAAAGGCGGTAGGGCTCTCCCACTAGATAAGCAAGCATTTGGGTTTCTCAAATCATCAAAGAAAGGGTGTGCACATGCCTCCAACTGTTACAGGACAGGAGACAGTTTATTAGGGTTCCAGAAACAATATGCGATGTTTCAAAAATATGATAACATACATGCAATAAAAAATAAGAATGAAATAAGCACAGATGAAATATTCTTACAGCAGTGCAACGTAAGTTTGGTGAGTACTGGAGCAGCCTTGACACGAGGTCTACAGCTTCAGGAGGCATTCTCTTGTGAAATGTCTGAAAATTACAACTTAAGTAAGATCTCCACTGTTAAGGAACAGTGCAACACAACCTAGTTGAGGAACATCAAAGATAAAACCTATATATATACATATATATATACCTTGTGCCATGGATGAGCTTTGATCTGAGGAAACTTAAACTCAGTGTAATTTGGATTCATGCACTTGATTTCTTCTCTTGTTGGTGTCCCCAAAATCTGATAAAAGAGAGTGAAGGGAGTAAATATACTTTGAAAATGCAGAAAAGGGACGATATAACAGGAGATGTAGAGAGCAACTAAATAGAACACCTTAATGATTTCCACTAGCTGATCGACACCACTTTCACCAGGAAATAGCGGCTGCAGATTATGCAACACTAAATAGGCATTAGAAATGAATGTGTATATTTTACTCTAACTAAATTAAATGGTGGAAAACATGAAAGTTACATATCAACACTAAAATTCAATAAATAAATGAATCATTTTACACCCCTACCCGACCAAGAAGAAGCTCAGCCAAGACGCAACCAGTAGACCACATATCAATAGCAGTTGTATATTCTGTAGCCCCAAATATAAGTTCTGGGGCCCTATAGTACCGTGAGCATATATAAGATATGTTGGGTTCACCTGGCACCTATTCACAACAGGGTATATCTCATTAGTTTTCCCACATTTCACTAAAATACATCCAGACTTCTGCATAAATAAACATACCAACATCTTTGCACTTCCAAAGTCACAGATCTTCAGCTGGTGAGTGTGGGGATTGACCTACAAAATGCATCACAAGATCAACCTCAATTTGTTTTAATTGTGAAGAAGCACTTTTCCACAAAAGAACTCCAACAGATACCACAAGTGTGACAAATCTTACAAGCAAATTTTGTGGCTTGATGTCTCGATGGCATACCCCGATAACATTATGTAAATAATTTAGTGCACGGCAAATCTACATAATAAAACCAACATAATTAACCACAACATCCAAGAAGTGTAAAAAACACCAAGAATTTCTAAGCCAAAAGCAAAACAGAGAACCTCACAACCCACTGCCAAGTCATGGCTCACCTGGTATGTATACAGCTGAACATAAATAATGGGTGTAAACTGATTCATTCTGCTATAATGCTTTGAAACTCGATACACAGTCTCTGATACATACTCCAGGACAAGGTTAAGATACAGCTCATCTTTTTCAGTGGTTGAAAAGAAACAGTGCTTCAGTTTAAGGACATTAGGATGGTCAAGTAAACGCATAATCTGGAGTTCTCTGTTCTTGTATCTTTTATCCTGCAAAACCTTCTTTATTGCAACTGATTCACCAGTTTCCAAGCACTTAGCCTGCAACACAAACATGAAATGCAAAGAGATAAGTACAGTTTCACCAAAAAAAAAAACCTTTAACATTACAAGAGTTTCAATCTTAATGTATAATAACATGCCATCAAATTCAGGTACCTGAAAGACAACACCAAAAGAACCAGTGCCAACCACACGCTCTGCCATATATGAGATGCTCTGGACAAAAGTAATAAGAAATTATTAGAAAATTTTAAGCTGTTCATGCCCCAAAGTAGAGTGATAGTGTAAAAATGAAATTCAACCAAAAACATAGGTAGGACAAGGTTCTAAAACATATAAAATATCTTCATGGAGAACATACAGCTCCAACAAATACATTCACCCGCAACACAAAATAATGAAGTTTTAGGCAGGAAGATGAGAGGAAAAAGTAAAATAAAAAGGAAACAAAGCAATATAGGTCAAACCAACCAAGGGCAGCCAAATGCAACTGCAATGTTAAAAATGAGCAGGAAAAGCATCCACAGAAACAATAGCCAAGGACATGCATCAAAAAAATCAACCAAGGAAAAGCAATCACCTGTCTTGGTTGTCCATTTCGACCACCAACAGTAGTTGTAATTATCTGACCTGTTTCAGTTCCATTACTATTAATAACAGTGGCTTCCACCTCCTGCACAATGCAAATCAGAAACAGCAATGTAAGTGACTATAAACAAGACAAAAATACAGCCCAAATACAACATCAAAATAGTAATATCATCTAGAAACTTGCAAGAAAGCTTCTTGAATAAACCACAAGTTTAGGCTGGCAAATCCTCAGGTGTATAAGTTCAAAAACTAGAGCTATTTGGTTTTGGCAGTATAAGTGATTCAGAGTAGTACATGTCACTTTCAGATCTAGAATCCTTCTAATGTAGCCTTAGGATGAATGTACCAATGTTACAATGCCAATGAGTAGGATACTAGATTCTGCATTTAAGTCTAAACCTCAATAGATTGAAAAAACTTAGTATCATTAAAAAATAGATGGCTAAAAAAGAATACAGTAAGAGCTGTTATCATATTAAATTGAATTCCTAGGGACAGAACAAAGTATCACATAAAGAATTGAGAAGCAAAACTATAAAGGAACAAGGTATATAGATGTTACCATAAGTCCTTACCTTATCATCATGGTTTGCAGTTTTCTCATCCCTAATCCTCATTTCATGCATTTCCTTAGGAAGCTGATCAACTCCTGATTTTCCTGTTCTGGCATCTGAAGATGTATCCGATGTGCTTGCAAGAGGTCCAAGTGATGTAGAAGCCATATGCTGCTCTAAACCAGTGGCATTCCTCACCTTCCATTCAGTATCTTGATCAACCTTTGCTCTCTTTGTGCTGGTATCTCCACCCTGCACAAAATAAATTGAATTATTTCCAAAGGAAGTTGAGATGCCAAAAAGTCAAAAGGAAAAATGAGTTCTCATAACAATATGGTCATATTTAAATGCTTTGATGCACAGCTAATTATAATTTTTTTTTTTTCCAAAGTGATGGATTTAGTACTATACAATGGTAACTTGAAAAAATGACGCAATCTGCTCCCAAAAACAAGAGTCAACTATGCCTGCAGAAGCTCATATAAACTGGCAGTTTAATCTTTTTATATACAAGTGGCTTTTGTAGCTTCAAAAAGCTTAGATATCTAATAAAATTAAAGCTGAGCAAGATTAGAGTTGCACTCTTATACTCATTTATAAGGCAGCTAACAGCCCAACATTTAATGGTTGGCGTTTTATATTGAAGATTAATTAAAAAAATGACAAAAGAATAGGGTAAGATGATGGCATGTTCCAAGAATAAAAGGACAAGCATGTAGTTAAAAATTGCTGTTACAATGGTACTTTCTATTAGGCCAAACTGAAATCCATTTTATGATTCCACACGTCACAAGGACCAAATATATTGGGTAGATAATACATTCAAAGCAAATTTTCTTTTAGGAAAGAAGGAATACCAGGGAAAGAAGCTCATAAAGGCATTACCAATTCTTAGGATTTAGGTAAGCACCAATAATGGTTGATTTGACCTATCACCAACCCCACAACAGCTGCTCTATCCTCTATATATATAAGCCACATACTAAAATACAGCTTACCATCAATGATTGCATTAAACTAATATCTATAGGATTAAGACAGCCTTTTCTTTTGTCCATTAGATTACGTAGAATGTAGTTTCACATCAAAAATGCAAGGTTGGACGATGCATCAGTCTAATCCAATAAAATTATAATTCCAAATAAAAATTAACCTCAATCACTAACTCAGAAATCAGCCATCTCCAAATTCATGTATGTTCAAATTTTATGGATGGAAAACAAAAGGAAATCAAATGTACAAAACACAGAATTAAGAGCTATTCCAAAGAAGCCAAAAATCAACCGGAAAGGCAATTGAGGGGGAAAAAAAAAAAGAGAGGAGAAATTAATGATAAATCCAGAGTACCCCATTTACCAAACCATCTCCCTCCGTCCATCCACCACCGCTCTATGAATTTCATCACAGACCCTTCAAAGACAATCTCAAAATTAACGAACTTTTCCTACAGGAACCTCTGAATCTGCTTCATTTTTACTTCCAACATGTATGTAAGAGCAAATTTATACTTAAGAGAAAAATGTGCACGGAAGTATATCCAAAACCCAAAAACATACTGATTATTTTAGGCAAGAAAATAAAAGAAAAGAATGAAAAAAACGAAAAGGGGTAAGGATTGGAAGAAAGACTTACAGGATCAGAAGAAATGGAAGTGCGACCAGAAGCAATACTCTTGAGCCGACGCATCACATTCATGATTTTCGTTTTCACCGAACTAAACCCAACTTTCTTCAAATGCAAAAGATCAATTACACCCCCCAGCGGGAAGAGAGAGGGACCCTTTCCCTCTCCCTCTCTCCCGCGTCAAATTCAGCAACCAGAGAGATCGTAAATATACGGAAACCAGACCCAAAAATTTCCCCAAAAAAAGAAATGGGGGAAGAGTTCAGACTTCAGAGACGCGCAAACAAAGAAAGAAATTACGTACAAAAATAAAAATCGAAACTTTCTCTCCCTGTTGAAAAACCCACAACCAAAAAAAAAAAAAAAAGAGCCTTTCACTCTAAAAATTCTCCGCCATTAATGTCTCCAAATGGCGTGGCGTGGCGCTTCTGTTCTTTCGTGGTCAAAGGTGAATCAAATCCAATCATTCCAGCCTCAATTTTTTTCTGTACTTGAGTCAAACGTGAATTCTGGGCCGTTGAATGTTTGATCCAGCGGTCAGGATTTAAAGAGTTTAGAGTAATCTGAAGGCTTGGGGGATTGCCGTTTTTACAAGAATGACCTCCCGGAATGCTGGAATTTGCGGAATGGTGTTTTTCGGACAGAGATTGATCCCCACGGAATATTCGGGGGTACTTTGACCAGTCTTTGAGGGTTCTTTTGGCGGTTAAATCCGATTCCCGATATATATTTTAAGGTTAATATTTTATCAATTAATTTATTAAATTTATTTATATATACGTATTTTTAATTTTTTAATTAATTAAAAAAATATCTATTATAAGTTTAAAAATTAAAAATAAGCATATTGAAATAGAATTAATGGATTAATTGATAAAATGATTAAAAAAATATAATTTTCAAAATTTATAGATAAAAATATATATAAAAAGTTTAAAAAATAAAATTTATATAAATTTAAAAATCAAGAGACTACATTTAGAAAAAAAATAAAGATATTTTGATATTAAAAATCTCAAAACATTTAATCACAATTATTAAAAATATATAGTATAATATAAATCTTAATTTTATAAATTTACCATATAATTGTTATTAAATATTTTAATATTTTTAATATCAAAATATAATAATTTTTTTCCCTTAGATTTAACTTTTTTAAGTTGTAACCAAACGAATTCTCCTTTGTCCGGAATGGCCTGCTTATAGGACTTAATTGGGCAGATCTTTAATTATCTCATGGGCAAGCCCAAAGCCGGAGCATAGTAAAAATCTTGAAAATCCCAAAAAAAAAAAACCTTTATTTATTTTTTTTATTTTAGTTACATAATGAAAAATAATCATTTTTTATCCTTTATCGTACCTTATTTGTATGTTATGCGATATAAATTCATAATTTTTTATTTTTTTATTTTTTTTAAAAAAAACTAAACTATACAAAACCTCTATTTATTTGTAGAGAAATAATAGTGCACAGATACTTAAACCCTTTGCTAAAAAAACAGCCCTCGAGCCAATCAAGACCTCAGTATTTGTGCACTCGACACATTGCTGAGTGCAAGTGCAACCATAGCCGTTCTCTTTAATTGAAATGCATAATAATAATTTTAAAAAATGGGGGATATTGCCTGTATTAAAAATCAAAAAAGATTTTCTGTGCAGATTGTCAGGGATTTTCTTATGTGTTTGATGGTGACCCATACTCATTCAAAGACAAAATAATAATAATAATAAGATGGGTTACAGACTTGGACCTCACCATCTGGACCTCTACAAGAAGGGCCCAGGACACTGGGGGAAATTTAAAAAGAAGGGCCCAAGATTGAACAAGCTGTAGGTCCAATAAATATTCCATAATTTACTTTCTTGTTTTATAATTCTTGTACCTTCTTTAAAATGCATTTATTTATTTCTGTAGTTCAATTGGCAACTTGCACGTGCAAATGATTTGAATGATTCAATAATAATTTTATTTTAATAAAATTAAGAAATTTTTAGTTTAAATTATAAATATATAGGTGGAATATGTATAGGAATGATAAATAAATTAAAATACATATTTTTAAAAACTATAACAATTAAATTGAAACGGAGTAAGTACTAAAAAAATAAAGGGAGGATGAAAGAAGGCAATTCAACCGTTCAAGTGAAATATTCTTTTTTTTTCTTTTATATATATATTTTAGAATTAACCTCTTGATATCCGATAATTACAATAGATCCCAATTAATTTAAAATTGAACTGCGTTACACCTTATAAGAAGGAAGCTCTCCTAACGTCTATTTCTCCATTCATAAGACTCAAATTCAAAACCTTATTTAAAGAGAATCAAATTCCTTTTACTCGGACTAACAGATCTTTGATTTTTCTTTTATACATTTGATTATTGGTTATATAAGAGAAGGAAATTCTCTCTTATTTTTCAATCTCTTCCTATTTGATTTAAGATTCAAAAATAAGATTTTCAACTTAAAATCTTAATTTTTTAACTAGTTGAGTTACCCCTCGAGGAAATGGAATATTCTTTCTAATGTGCTGATGTTTTGATCACTGGAACATTGTGGGGTGCGGCATATGAAATGGATAGCGATTTATTTGCAAAGGAAAACTAGGAAAGGGCTGGCTTTAGGTAATAAGATGGACCTACTCATTTATTGCATCCAAATGCTGCAATCTTAAGTTTCTAGGCTTGTCTTTAATGCCACACCAACTCTTTTTCTTTTTATTGTGTTCATTTTAAAAGCTTGATCTGTCAAGGGGTTCCTTCTTTCTTTCTATCTGCATCATCGCTGCAGTGATCAAAGCATTAAATGATACATATGTTGCAGTGGGAGATTGAGAGTGACTCAGCACCTCTTCAACTTTTTCATGGAGAAACTTAAACTTTGGTTTGAATGAGAAGCAGATCAATTTAGTCTACTACTACTTACAGAACCGATTCGATAAAAACATATTTAACCACTTATTGAGAAAAAATTCATTTAACTTTTCTTAATTGCATTTTGTAAGGATGAGATTAACTGTTAAGTAAAAAAAATATTACATTAAGATGTAACAAAAAAGATATGTGTAACTTAAATATAAGAAAAGTTGATTCACTTATCAATAATTAAATAAAAGTTTTATATTAAAACAACGACAGTTAATTTTCACATTAACTTATTCGATACAGGTTGCTCAAACTAAAAATATCTCATAATTAATTATAATTAATTTTGTGTTCTCAACATGTATATAATTGTTTTTAACAAATTGCTAAAGAAAATCACACAAAAAATTTAGGAAGCAAAAGAAAAGTAGTACAAGAATTTGACAAGCAGGTACTAGATCATGTACATTTTCTTCCGGTGCCTAGCTAATTGCCTATTGCCAGTTGCCTGGTCTAAATTTTAGGCCAAAATCAAATTTGGGTGAATGTGTGTTCTTCTTTCTTGATCACATGGACTAACATGCAACACGAGGAAGCAGGTCATGGTCTTAAGCCGATTTT